AAAAAAAAAAAAAAAAAAAAAAACGGATATTTCTGTGCTTTAAACCTCTTTTCCTGCTTTGGTATTTGTTTGTTTGTTTGTTTGTTTTGATTTTTGGTTTTTGGCTTTTTTTGTATTTTTTCCCCCTGGTGACTTTTCTGTTTTTTTTGTTTTTTTTGTTTTTTTTTTGCTGTCACTTTTGTGTGTTTTGTTTTGTTTTGCATTACTAGGGTTGACTACATCCCCAGCCCTTTTATTATTTTTAAATTTTGAGTCAGGGTCTTACTAAATTGCCCAGGTTGGGCTTAAACTTAGAATCCTTTTTTCCTTTTCTTTTCTTTCCTTTCTTCCTTCCATCCTTCCTTTCTCTTTCTTTCTTTTTTGTTTTTTGAGACAGGGTCTCGCTTTGTGGGTCAGGCTGGCCTCAAACTCTCCTCAGTCTCCTGAATCAGCTTCCTTAGTGCTGGAGTTGCAGGTGTGTGCCACCACACCCAGTTCCAGGGTCATTTAAATGTGATTGTACCAACTCTTTCTTATTCTGCTAAAGTCAAACAAGTTCCCTCACTATCCTTCCACCTCCTTTCCCCATTTCCCCACCTCCCGTTCCTACTCCCTGACACTCATAATCGGAATCAGACCCAGAAACCATCTCCTACTGAGCTGTATTCTCAGTTGGGTTTTTGTTGTTGATGTTGTTGTTGTTTAGGTAGTGTCTTGTTAAATTGCCTAGTCTGGCCTTCAGCTTGTGGGATTACGGGTATATGCTACCATACCTGGTTTCATTATTCCCTTGGTTCGTCCTTGTTTTCATCTTTGTTCATGGTATTCATTCACTTTTCAGTAACTAGGGCTTATATTAGGAAATAGTGCTTTTATTTTATCGTAGTTCCTAGTACCTTAGGAATTTTAGAACCTCATTTGAAAAACAAGACCTCATAAGAAATCCCATTCAAATAAGTTGTAATAACCTTGAAATGCCCTGGTGTTTGTGTGTAATGAATAGCTATAAAGTACAAACAGCATTTTTCTTTAGCTAAATCTGAGAGTCACAGTCTTGGATAAGAGTTCTGTTTGGTCTCTACACAGATTCTTACAGCCACAGAGTGCCACTGCACAAACCCACGGACTGGGAAAAGAAGATCCTGATATGGTCAGGTCGCTTCAAAAGCAAGGACCAAATTCCAGAGACTATCTCGTGAGTGATGAGCCTGGGCTTGCATGCAGTTTCCACTTCTCACTGACCTGGTGTAAGGGAAAAGCAGTACCTCTGAGTTCTGACTCTTTAAAACCTTTTAACCAAATTCATTTTTTTTTTGTTTTATTTTTTGAGACAGGGTCTTGCTGTGTAGTTCAAGCTGTCTTTGAACTCTGTATGTAGCCCAGGCTGGCCTTGAACTTGTAGTGATGCTCCTGCTTCAGCCTCCAGCGTGCTGGGATTACAGGCGTAAGCTACCTACACACATTTCTTACTTGTCTAAATGTTTTGTCTTTGAAAAGTACCTAGAACAAAAACAGTGTTTAAAACATGCTTTATCACTAGTATATTACACAGTAACCAGTGAAGAGCTGTCAGATATTCCAAAGGCAGCTGATGGTTTGGCTTTAGCCCCTGACTATAGAAGTGTGAGTTAACCACGATACTCACTTTTTAGTGTGTTTTTAATCTGGGTATATCAGTTAGGTACCAGGATGACAACCACTGTACTCTACAAAAATCTACTCAAGATTCAGCTTTAGACATAAAAGTATTTCAGTGCAGCTGGTGTAGTTTGGACCTTACCTGTACCCCATAACCACATGTTTAAGGCGTGGACTCAGAGTGGCACTGTTGGGAGGTGGTGGAGATTTAAGAGGCAAGTCTTGGAGGTCCTAAAGAGTTCAGGGTGTGTCTTCTGAGGGAAATGTGGGACTCTGTCTCTTCTTCTCTGGCCATGAGGCAATGGTTTTACTCTACCACATGGCTCTGCCATGATGTACTGCTCAACACAGGCCCAGAGCAATGGGGCCTGTCCATCGTGGACAGAACTTCCAAAACCACAAGCTAGAATCACGTTGATTACCTCAGGTATACAGTAATGGAAAAACATCTACCACAGCAGTACATTCTCTGAGGCAAGAAAGAGTGTCTCCTGTCACCAGTTTCCTTATTCTTAGTTTTGATGGCTACCTTGGACGTTTTCAGAGGTGTAGGTGATGAGTAACAGGGGCTTCCAACCCAGGGTTTCTTAGCTTCACCACTAGTGACACTGGGGCCAGAATATTCTTTGCTATATGAGGCTATCTTGTGTGTTGGAGACATTCAGCAGCATCCTTTGCCTGTGCCCTACCACATTTACATTCCACCAACTCACAGTCGGTGGTGCCAAAAGGTAGCCCATTCCTGTAATCCGAGCACTTAGGAGGCTGAAGCAAGAAGCTGGACTACATAATGGGACCTTACCTCAAAATAAAAATGAAAGGATGTCTCCAAACAATGCCCACTGTGCCTTTAATCAGTACCACCACCACCCTAGTTGGAAGCAGTGCTCCAGTGTGATGCCAAAGATCCTGAAGGGTTGGCATGTTGGCCAGGAGGGATTCTGAGAAGTAGATGCTGTCTCTCTTGTGGGCATCATCCCACTCAATGACAAGGACTTTGGACAAAACCCCTGAAGCTCCCTTTCAGCAAGAAACTCTTCCTGACCTTGCTCTGGTTTCAAGTTATGATGGAAGAGATCTGGGCTCACTCAGAACATCTTTTCCAGATAAGTAGTACTGTATTTGCTTTCTGCTTATGACACTTTTAATAAAGCCCTTCTGCTTCTGTCTGCAGTCCATCTTCACTAGAATTATTTTATTTCAGCAGGAAAATCTTGGTTCTTCTCAGCTTTCTTCTGACTATCCCCATAGTAAATAAGCTAGCGTATCCTCACTTCCTGATTGATGCTGTATAGAACACCTTCCCTAGTCTGCTATGTAGTTGGTTTCAGGGTCTCCTAGGCCCATAGTACTGCTGAGCCATGCTGGAAGGCTTTGCTCTGGCCCTTGGCAGCTGTCTGTCTCTGCTTAACATACTCATCCTCAGTGCTTCCTGTGCTGTGGATAGCAGCAGCACAGCCTCACTTATGTGCATTTTACTGCTTTGGTGTTCCCTTAAATGTAAAATACATACTCTGCATGAGGATCACAGTACTTCAGTTGGAAATAACAGTTCATATAAAATCCTCTCAAGTTGGGCGTGGTGGCACACGCCTGTAATCCCAGCACTCGGGAGGGTGAGGCAGGAGTATCGCTGTGAGTTCAAGACCAGCCTGGGCTACATAGTGAGTTCCAGGTCAGTCTCAACTACATATTGAGAACCTGTCTCAAAAAAAAAAAAAAATCCTCTCAAATGGGTAGTTTGTGGTTGGT